CTCGGCTCGCGAAGTTATTGCGAAAATAGTTCCACGACTCCGCTTAATGTGAACACAGATGTCCACATACCAAGCTGACTCGCGTCACCCCGGACAATGAATTTGTTGGTGACTGATCGACTAGGCAAAGTTCTTTGTAGCTGCTTTTGCTAACGATGCCTAATCGCTTCGATTTGCGGGCGCAACGAAATGTCAAATGCGCCACCCTGTCCTTTCTTGATATTGAAACGATGCAGGGCTGCAATCGGGCAGGCTCGCCAACATTGTTATTTTAGAGCGCAGCTCTTAGGGGCCCGTTTCCGGCTTGAGCGGCGTCGGCGTCGCCGTCGGCGTCGCCGTCGCCGTCGGCGTCGGCGTCGGCGTAACCGCGCGGTGCATCATGGGAAATGTCCCATAATGCACCGCGCGAGCCCCCCACCGGGGTCACGTGACCTCGTGGGGGCACGTGACCCCCCGAGGTCACGTGACCCCGGTGCATCATGGGAAATGTCCCATAATGCACCGCGCGAGCCCCCCACCGGGGTCACGTGACCTCGTGGGGGGCACGTGACCCCCCCGAGGTCACGTGACTCCCGCCGATGTTGCGTGACCCCCCAATGACGTCATCGTCACTGATGACGTCACCGGTATCCACATCGTCATCGTCATCATCACTGATGACGTCACCGGCATCCACATCGTCATCGTCATCATCACTGATGACGTCATCAGTGACGTCACTGATGTCGTCACCGGCATCCACATCGTCATCGTCATCGTCACTGATGACGTCACTGGCATCCGCATCGTCATCGTTATCATCACTGATGACGTCACCGGCATCCGCATCGTCATCATCACTGATGACGTTACCGACATCCGCATCGTCATCGTCATCATCACTGATGACGTCATCAGTGACGTCACTGATGACGTCACCGACATTCGCATCGTCATCATCACTGGTGAAGTCATCAGTGACGTCACTAATGACTTCATCGGTACCCGCATCGTCATCGTCACTGATGACGTCATCAGTGACGTCAGTGATGACATCATCGGCATTGGGGGTCACGTGACCCCCAAGGTCACGTGACCCCCCCTGGTTAGTTTAACCCCCCCCCCCCCCAGTGCCCTTCCCTCCTGCTCCTCAAGAGCTGCGCTCTGATTCGGCGTTACAGGGAGTTGTAAGCAACTTTCATTTTTTCAAACATGTTAGCTTTTACCTTAGGCTAAAACACAAATGCCTGTGGCCAGGTATAGCACAGCGACCTAACTTCGAAAAGTCTTGGAGCCGCGTGCTGCCCTGGCCAACGCGAACAAAGAAGAGCACCGAATCCACCTCCCAGCCGCGCAGGACAGCCACCTTGAACTGCAATGTTCTTAGAGGCCAAGCGCCGTAGCACGAGTTTATCCGCATCAGCAAAAACAGAAACCGATCCCAAATAAAAAAGAAACCCCGTGCCAATAGCAATACCAGACTATTTACGGCACCGATCGGCCACAACACGAGTTGCTCGACCCGGCGAGTACGCTGCCCGGCTGCCAAAGCCCGTCTGCAACAATACGAGTTGCTTAGCGACGTTAGTGGCGAGCGTACCGCCCGGCGGACGCACTGCCCGACTCCGCAGAGTCCGCGAAAATATTTACAACTATTCACATATTTACACCCCGGATCGTTCTGCTGAGCGTCAAAAACTCATCGGTGCTACCGTCGATTCCCAACGAACACCTCGAGTGCCGTGGTTCACGATCTCGTCCAGTGACCGCATGGCGGTCACCTTAATCGGACACGCAATCATCTCGGGACGCTGTTCAACCTATTGCACTGCCCGGTAGCACGATTGAACGGCTCCCGGACCCCGCGGCGTTTTCACGTTTCACGTCGCTTTTACGGGGTCGCAACTTGATAGGTGACCCTGAAAGGTTCCTAACGTTATTGTTGCGTGCGACGCTCACTGACTTTTGGCCACAGTCGATCGCGGGTAAACGGAACATACTAAATTCTAGTAGCCGAAAACCATGCTCACGCCAGTCCGCTGTCCCTTGATAGCGGGAAGGAAAGACGGAGTAAAAAGGAAATCATTCTGACTCACTCAGTTTTCCCGGGGGGGCCTTTGTTCCGGGGGTCGCTTGGTCAACGTGATGGCTACTGGTCCGTCGACGCGGCGACGAAGGGCACCATCGGCGGTCTCCGCACCCTCGCTAGGCTGGGACCGGTGTTGTTCGCAAACACCCGCGCTGCGTATTCCAGCAGTGGGGGATGCAAGCACAGCGCATTTTCTCGCTCCGAGATACGCTTTTAGTTTGTGCGCTGACGGGATGTCTACTCTGGGTGGGCCCCGCGAGCCGTCTCGAAGGCAAAAAGCTGCACTTGCTTCGTGTTGCGTCACCGTGCTTTGTTCGAGAACGGGCTTGACATCGAAAAGCGCAGGAGCGCCTCCCCAGCGAAGTAGGCTGGCGTCGTCCCGAAAGGGAATGCCTCGGACGTATTCCGGGCGTTTAGTCACCTCCGTTTGGAAGCGAGCTCGGCTGAAAAGACACTGCATTGATTCCGTGCGTGGCTGACGTGGCCACTAAGCCGTTGAATGGCGTCGGGTGTCGGGCGTTCGCCTCTCCCTTTGTCCACCTGTTTGATCTTTGGCCGGAAATTGACCTGGTTCGCTATCTTAGCGAAAGGAGATGGATGCTGCTGTCTTTGCAGTTCACAGAAAGCCCCACGTTGGGCGCCAGATGTGGGATTTGCCCTTTGGGGGGTTACCACTTAGAAACACAGAAGGTTCCTTGGGTTCGGATAAAGACGTGTTTATTGACTGCAATGCCAACACGCTTCGCTCTTAGACAATGAAAAGTCTGGGCGCTGGCTCAATTGCCAGTATCACCCGGTCGGTTTCCCGCGCTGCCGCATTAGACAGATTCACGGGAAGTCGGAGGCCCACAAAGAAAAACCAAGCTCCGTAGAGCCAGGGCCTCCGCCGACGAGAGCCCCCTGGCCCACCTTCGGGGCCAGCTTATGTAGCCTCGGAGAATGGACGCGCTCGGGGAGGCCACTAGCAGTCGCGTCCATCATAGCTCTCAAGGGTGTGCCGAAGGCGCGTTCATCCCAAATGGGCAAGGGAGAGCCGGCCCCTTCGGGGAATTCGGCCTCGTGGTTCCTTGTATCCGGGAGGCCGACGCCATTGGTGACGACGGCTCCCCCGGCCTGCTCGAAGCTAGGCCTGGATAGGGATAGAGGGAACCCCATGGTTCCCACATAGTAAATAAATAAATCAGAAGGACGACAATGAAGCTCGACCTAAACTTATGTTCTTGGACAGTTTGACCGGGTACTCTGGTACTATAAAGGGAATTTGATCATGTTAACAAATAATGTAGCTTAAATCTACTCTAACAAATTGTATTTGTAGTTCACTCTCCAAATTAAAGGTGTGGAAAGCTAACCTATGTGTGAAAATTCCGGAAGTTTACAAAAACCCTGTAGTACAGGTAAGAGACTAGATATTTTACAATCATATTAGAGTAATTTATATCTTTAAAGAAATGTTTATTGACAAATTGGTTTTGCAGGTTCATTTCTCAATGGGAATTCACAGTAGGAGATGACACCTTTCAGCTAATTTTATGCGCCTAAGGAACATTTGACCACTTTAACACAAGCAATAATGTAGCACATCTGTGGTGTTAACCTTTTTCACTGCTCCAATAAATAGAATTCCAAGATACTGACAGCGTTGCTTCTTTATATTGTTCGTGCATAGTAAGGACTATAGCTTTCATGAATATTTAATCAGAACTATTTACATACACATTCATTTGTACGTGATATTCTATAATGAGTAATCATCCACGCTGTAAAATAAAAAAAAAATTGAAAGTCATATTGACTTAGAGAACCCCAGGGGGAACCATATCTACGTTCGGTTCTGTATAAAAGTGTACTAAGTTCCAAAATATAAATAGTTATAAAATTATAAAAATAACCTTTAAGAGGTTTCCATATCTACACAATTTTTCAATTGTTCATTCCTTTATTATCAGCTGCATGGGCAGATCTTGTTGGTATTCATATTTCTATAATAAATTCGAAATATTTTTAAAATTTTTTCTTGGAGATCAATGATGTTCTTGCGCTTTTAACCACATTGTAGATTATCTTACCGCATAAACTACGCGCAAGAGCGTAGCTACGGCTGTTCCTGGTCCCCCATCATTATCGTTGTTAGTAACGCCTCGCCACAGCACTAAAAATAGTTAGATGCCTTTTAAACCAATCCGCTATTTGTCGAATTCCGCTATTCACCTAACTTTCCCCAACCCTTGGCGCTTTGAGAAGGGTCGTTGCTTCCACATTTCTTAGACTGACGATATCTTAACATTTCGTGAAACTAAACATCTTCGACAGGAATCTGTCTGGTTTGGGGAAACAATCCGAAACAAAGAAATCTCACACCAAAAGCTCAGAAACAATCAGTTCCCAACGTTGCGGGGTCAACTTGACTCCTTCTTTGTGACTCCGACTAAATGGAGTGGGGCAGCGAGAGCTTCGACTTCCTCTTCCTTTTCTACCGAGTTAATGTTTTGTTAACATGAGGCAAGCCCTGGACATAAATAGATCGTAAGGCATCGAGAGACCTGTTAATGTTCCCCAGCGTGTTCTGAATATGCCACCACTCAAAGAACACACGTTTTCGGATATGTGACTCCGTTTCCTGTTTTTCACAGTGTGTCGGCAAACTACAACTGGTTAATATATAAAAGATGAATTAAGATACACGACTGGTTTCATTGTCAATTATGTAGTTTTGTCATCTCTTTATTTCGCCTGCTTCAATAGTCATTTTTTTAAGTATTTAATCGTGCATGACCGAGTACTCTCAAGTACTCTCCATTCAATTAACATTAGCGTTTATTATGCACACAGGTAAATGCTTTACACAAATCCGTGCAGTGAAATACGCGCTTTCAGTAATTAATACATATGCAAGTGCACAAGAGCTCATTTTCACATTGCGATCCAATTTATTTTCTATCTTATTGCACATACCCAACTGTCTTAATTACAAGCCGGTGTGTTCTTCTGTTATTTTAACTGCTTCACCCTTCCGGCACCTGGATTCTTTTCTTCTTCTGGTATTCACCCATTGGCGGAAACATTCGATACACCAGACGACGCTGGCTCCAAACGTAACCAGAGAGAGCAGGATGTAGAGGCCATCGTATGACTTCCCACGATCTCGATAAAATCCTGGTAGGAACAAAATAAAGTAAGACAACACGCACTCAGTGAAACTCGCAAGTAACAGTTTTGTATTTTGGCTGTTCCATACTTTCTGGGAGTTCATCTGGGAAAGAATACACCTTTCCGGCACTTATCACCAAAGCAAAAAGAGCCGAGCAGCTGGGCTGTGTAGCCGCGAGTGGTGCCTGATATTCCACAGAAAAGCGCCACTGCGCGTACTCAGAACGCGCTCCGCAGCCCAGCAAACAAAGATGGCAGCGCGCTGGGGGAGAACAGCGGAGTGGTTTATATAAAAGCGTTTCTTTAAATCTCTCACATACAACTATTAACAGTAAGCAAGACGCTAAAGATACTGACAAATGCGAAATATTCGTCATTTCAAGGAAGCTGCTACTAACATCATTCGCTGCTATATCTATTCCTGAAGAGTTCGCTCTTTATTTCAAAGGGTTCTGTGTTTCCCCTTTGTAACGCATATGTAACGCAATAACGCAGTATGTTTAAAGTATTGTTTTAAGCATTCAAACCAAGGTGTGTCCCAACGTAACCATTTAAATCAGACGCAAAAAAAGTTTGTTCCATTAGAACACTCCATTGGTTCTTACATTTATGTGAAACACATGGCAGAGACAGCTTTCATTGAACATAGGTCAGAGTGTGCATTTTAATTCAGGTGTTAACTTTAAATCGAATTTTGTTTTTTAACAAAGGGCTTGATAGTTTGATGAGTGTCGTTTTCACTATGTATTTTCAGGCTCGACGGACATTAGATGAGGGGATTATCGTAGTGGTAAGTAGGTTCATTAAGAAAAATCTGTGAAAATATGTTTTATTATTGGTTTTAGGGGTTATGTTGTAATTGCGGTATTGACGGCAATCGGTGTTAAAGGCCATCCCAACTAAAAAAACTTGCAAAAAATACTATGGTTTTCGACATAATAACTGATAAAATTTCCCGTTCTTTAACCCGATTTATACCTTGCACAAAAAACCTGCGCCACAAGCCCTGACCAGACTGAGGGTAGGAAGAGTGACATAGCCGCTTCAATTATGTCAAACTCTTGTCGGCGTGTCCTTGGTGGGTACGTAGACGACACAATTCGCAATATGACTAAAATCACTACGTTATTCTTCTAAGCGTGATTTAGGGCAGAAATTGCAGCGCGATTTTTGCGTCAAGTTTTTAAATCAGGATAATAAACGCAAAATTTCATTAATTCATATCTCAAAATCTATTAAATTTTTGAAAGTGTTATCTCTTCGTTTGACCTCTAATTGTAATTGCCGTCAATACTGAAAATGCAACATGACCCTTAAAACCAATCATTAGAAAGTTCATTAACAAAGTTTAGTTTATCAGTCAACTTATCATGATGATTTTCCCGTCGTTGAATGTCCACAAAACCTGATGAATACATAGTGAAGACGGAACTCGTCTAACTTTTCCAAACAGTTATTTTTTAATCTGCTGGAATTATAATTACACACCCTCTATAATTCCTACCAATCCTTTAATAAACTTTGCAAAGTACCTTAACAGCTAAAATAAAGAGACCGAGTCAAAGGGATTGCTTACCTATTAAAAGAGGCCGGGGAAAAGTGGCAATGCCATTGATGAAGGAAGAAACACCGATGGCCATGGCCAGCCGCTCAAGGCCAAAATACTCTGCCAGCAAAATGGACAGCAGGATGACGGCGCTTCCGCTGAACATCCCAAACATAAAGCTGACTGCCCCCAGGAGTGCCAGAGAGTTAGCGTAGATGACGGAGAGCAGAGCGGCTGATGCGCCCATGATCGAGATGGTCATGACGTGCCTCCTGCGTGGACAGAGCGTGAGCAATGGTGGACATATCATTAGGGTGTTTTAGCAAAACGTCACCACTGGCTACCGCAGCCAGGGCTGCAGGCAGATATAGCATATGGTAACACTAGGCTAAAACTGCGTGTGACATGCAAGCAGCAACCAAACAAGTAACGAATCGGTCTAGCAAGTAACTAAATTGCAGGTTCCTTTTTTTGTATCTTTTAAAAACTAAAATTGCAGTAAAATAGCATTTTGTCGGGTTTTAAGGCTGATTCACACACTTGCACCCTGAGTGACCGCAACTACAGCGAACGCCTGCAATCCAGCTGCAACCGGTTGGAACGACGAGTTGTCATAGCAGCGAAGCACCGGGCACATCTCTCCTTATCAAAGCGAGAAGTTACATGGGGTTGAACTTTGGAGATGCGTTAGGAATGCGAAAAAAAAAAAAAAACGGTCACGCATCGGTGCGCGTTGCATGCCGGTCGTGGGTTCCGTTGCTACACTCATAAACAAACATTGCGCTGGTTATGAACATAGGTATCTCCAGCATGGTATAAGTTCATTGATCTACAAGTGAAGTGATCTAGAGCGTGAAACTGTCACCATGCGTCGCGATGGCAAACCAGCCGCTCCCAGAAGAGAAGACTCATCCACACGTACGGCGACGTCGCGGCCGTGGTCATGAGATAGCAGAAATGTTAACCTCAACCACACGGCTGCTATATTAAAGGATGAAATTTATTTTTTAATGCAACTCCCAATACAAAGATTTTGTCTGTCCGTGCGTGCGTTTTCCGCTAAATTTAGGGAACAAATCGACGCCACGTGACCTATACACCAATTTGATTTCCCCGCAAAAATTTTGGGGGTAAATATACTGATTCCCTCTCCCCACCCCTCTTCTCCTTCGCCCTCCTCTTTCTCCCCAGTCGTTCCCCTCCTAGGGTGCCGTCCCCATCCCTCCCTTTTCCTTGAACCCCTCTCCCCTCTATCCCCACAATCATCCAATTCCTTAAACCTCCCTCCCTTTCCACCTACCTCCAATAACCTACCTCTTCCTCCATCCACCATTCTCCCCCACCTCTCCCTCTCTCTCCCACAGTATCTTCCCTCTCCCTTGCTCCTCTCCCTCCTCCCCCTCCCCCTCCTTAATTACCGTATGTGGCACAGCAGTTCAGTTCCCCCGTTCCTCTCTCCTCCCTTCGCTCTTCCGATCCATCTCCTCACCGTCTTACAGTGCCCTCTCCCCTTCCCCAGTTGCCTTCCCTCGCCTTCGTCCTTCCATCGTCACGTGTCACACTAAATTTGTTTCCTCAAAATGTATTAAAAAAATATACGTTTTTAACTCCCGGGACGACCGACCTATGTCTTCGAAATAATTGAAACAGGCGCTCATAAATTCTGCATTCTATGCATTGTATGGCTTTAAAGATTAAGGTCGCTTCCACTGTTTCTGCCTTTGTTGTCTCGTACATCACAGATTTATTATTCTGCCGGGTCATTGGAAAATACAAATTAATAAACCGGAATGCTCTAAAAGATTGCCTGTACGATTGCTGATACACCATTGAGTGTCAACGCGTCCTGTCTTTTTGGAAGCTTGACGGAAACAGATGATGGCAGCGGAGAAGTGGTTGTCGCTCTGCCAGCCGGCATGCTCGTCTGAGTTCTTGCACTTGTTGCAGGAGTGCACTTGCCGCATACAGCAGGGGTTTTGGGCGCAACAAGCACAGTCGTAGCTAACATGCTCTAGCAAATGTCTGAACCAGCTTTTTTGCTTTAATTCGTTTGAGTATAAGTACCAGGTTGCTGTAGCTGTGGGTAAGAAACAGTTTGAAATACACTACAAAACAAGGCCCGTGCATCTACCAGGCAGAACACTTCAAGAACAAATCACTGCTATCTGCGGAAGGAACTTTGCGAGGGACGATTCCGAAAATTACGCTTACAAATGAGGTCTGCATAGCGACAAAGCATGACTTGAACATGTGCAAAGTATTTGTAGGTATCACTTTGCAGACTAAGCAGACGGTTAACTCACATTTTGGACTAACCTTTAACTTCCCCCAAGAAAACCTTAATCTACTATTTCGTGAGATATTTCTAACGTAGTTCATTCGCATGTGGCGTGAACGGTCAATAAGTCAAGTTAAATACAAATTACACCACTTTGGATAGGTGTATCTTATATCTTATATGGTTGACATGTGCTCCACTCTGCTCTGAGTTGCATTGTAGCGAGCTACTAACTATTTTAGAGGTGATATGTAGCCTCATGTTTTGACCAAATGAAGCGATTTAAATACAAGAGATGTGCTATTTAGTTGCAATACCAGGGCCCGATGAATCAGTGTCTCGAGATTGACTTTTATATTATGTTTTGAATGTGCACGTTTCTCGCCAAATCCACATATATAAGACTTGACCGTGGTGACTCATTAACAGCAAAGCAGTATTTCAATGAATATGACACTAGATACAGATAAAGCATATTACAAATGAGAGCCCGAAGTGTTGTTAATGTTGACCACCTCATGACCAAAATGTTGACAAGGTATACTTACGTAAGAGCGCCAGATATTAATAATGAATAAAAGCGCCCGGTAGCAGCAAAAGCGACCACAACATTGTGTGCTAACGCGTAATTCGTCCTTTCAATAATTATGTACGTCCGGGAATTACGCGACGTAAAAAATATTTAATATGGACAAACAGGTATATCTTCGAAATATATATCTAATATTAACATATTCTATTACCATCAACGTTGCATCGATGGAGGAGACCAAGGAAAAAAGCTGTCAGGAAACAGCTAGACGAACCCTTGGCCCCTTTTACAATCACAGATATAAAATCACAAACAAGAATAAGTCATATGTATGCCAATGACTAGATTAATATGCATTATGTCAGATTTCCTCGCATCCTCAGTTATTTCAGATGAGACAGCCACTAAGCAATAAAAATAAGTAAGCCAACATCCTTACCTCTGAAGTATCTTGCGGTCCGACAGCTGGCCTGAAAAGTTGCGACCTAGCAGATCCCCGGACCCGTATAAAGGTAAGAGCATCGCTGCTTCCCATTTGCTCAAACCTTTTCCGATGGCAAAGTCCACAATAGTCACATTGAAGATGGCAAAACTGTACGTGTACATAATGCCCGTAGCCACTACCACGAAGTACATGGCATTCTTGAGGAAGGACAGTTCCTCTCGCATGATTCCCAATACTTCCTTTGACTTCAAAGATGTATCGTGTTCACCAGATGCTTCGTTTGTGTCCAGGGGTTCCTCTACCGGGCTCTTTGGGCGTGGTTGATCATTGGGTTTGTTGGCAAGCAGGCAGCCGGCCGTTACATTGAGGCTGCAGCCCGCCAGGATCAGGAGTGTTCCTCGTAGCCCGTAGGCCTCGTGCAAGTACAAAAGGAGTGGTGGAAACACGAAAGACACCAGCGTGCCTCCGGTGTAGCATATTCCCATACCAGAAGCACGATACCTAAAGAATGCAAAGAAAAAAGCAGTTCACATAGCAAGTTTCAGTCTCTCTGACAAAGTAAGAACGGCAAGGCGTGTTAAACCCCGGTCTTCAGCATGCGCTCCATGCGTACCGCCTCGCTTCGGCAGACTCGAGGTGCACAAAACACCGAAGCGTTGTCGGAGGAACAATTGAAGTTCGGAACAATTGAGCAATTGAAGTTTATTTCTTCGGTTCTCAATTTGGCAGTGAATATAAAAGATGAGAAAGTCATGTTGCTGATACAACAAACCGGTGGTGGCTGAAGCCAATATCAGACACGACGGCATCGTTCTATGTCTCTTTATAAATAGAAAACCCAGAATGAATAAACTTTCAGTCATCTCTGGTGCTTCCAAACGAACCAAAAAGCTAGCATTTTCTACTCCTTGGTTCGCGCAGAAATCTTACTATTTACGAGTAAATAAATTGACGGAGGCTTATTGCGGAGAAGACGCCGTGTAACCGTGCTTTCGGTTCCACGCCAAAAGATCCCCAGGTGGTCGAAATTAATCCTCAGTCTTCCGCTGGGGCGTGCCAGATGCCCGCCGTTGGTTTGGCACGTAAAACCCCCAAATTTGATTTGAATAAATAACGACTCGTCTACACGTCTAAGTGGAAATATATTTCTGGTACACTTAATACCGTCGGATTTTGAAACATCAATGATTGCGGTATTCAAACGTTTATCATGAAAAGCAGCACCAAACAGTCGTTTTTGTCCATGACTGTCTGAACATTCCATAAATATAGAGCAGATAAAAACTCTCAGTAGATACGACTTTAAAAGTTTCTATCAAAAGCCATTCAGTCATTTTGCAGTAAATCGAAAACGTTTACTCTTTACAAAATGCATTTTTCAGGTTTTATTAGACTTACTAAAACAATTCAAAGGTTTTATTAGCAATTTTAAAGATATGACTTACCGTTTAAAATGTGTGTTGATAACAACAAGAAGAGAAGGAAAAACCAAGCCTTGTCCGAAGGCTGTCGGGAAAAAAAAGACAATATTTCATTATATGTGTTCGGTTAGTCTTGCTATTTACAGGCACAAGATTGCATAGGTTTCGTAGTGCAACACAAGCATCAAATTATAGGTATGTGATTGCTTGCACCTTGGGATCGGTAAACTTGCTCAAAATCTTTACCGCTATGTCAACAAGGAGGAAGGCGGTCCGGGCCGCTTAAGTATCGAACAAGCTAAGATAGCTACAGCCACTGACGGCTTACAAGCTCAAAAAGTGGCTTATTGTGTCAGCACTTCTTACTTCGTTTTACGCAGTTTATATCGGATAATGTTCCCAATTTCTTTGGTGGTGGAACGATGAAAGGATGCTCGGAACTAGCCACGTTCTCCGTTTCTTGAGCTGTCAGCGACTATTTTTATGTTTCAAACCTGACGAGGCCGTGCTCGAATCATGGCGCACCCTCTCCAAGATCCGGAAAGAAGGCTTTCAAACTTCGGCCGAAGTAACCAAAGTCAACGGGTCTTCACTTTCCTCTTTCTACAACATCAAGAGAAGCTGCTGCTCCTGCAGCGACATAAAACCTCCAGGCCACTGACTGTGGCTGTTTGACCTCACCTCCATCGAAGTCAGCAGTCACCACCGATCATACCCGGATCCCGCCGGTGACGCAACATCGTACGTCGCTGCGACTGTATACCCGCAGACTCGCGCGGCGGAGACGGAATGAGACTCACAACGAGACGCTACCATCACATCATGTCCCATTAAAACATGGTTATCCATATATTCCAAGCCCGGTTTCCAGCCTGTCCGTCCCCCAGCCCTTAACATCTGGTGGCAGCGGTGGGATCCTTCCTGGCCTGGATGAGCGCAGCGGCTACACTCCAGCTGAGGAAGAAGAGGTGTGAGCCGGCGTCGAGCGTCCATGAGCGCCCTCAGCCAGCGCGTCAGCACGGCCCAATGTTCAGCCGTCAGTGGTGCCTGGTCATTCAGCGGACATCGGAACGACGTCGCTGACATTTGGCTGGTAAGACGGCCGGAAGGGCAGAGATCGGGCGGCCGGGTTTCACGAGTATTGGGCTCGTTATTTCGGGGAGCTGCCCAGTTTTCATGGTCGTTCCCAGCTCTGCAAAGCTACTTGGCTCTTGGAATTTGAAAGGCAGTAAAGACCGCAAGGGGAAGGTTTTGGAAGCTAACCGTTTAGATAAAGCTGACGCACCTCAACGACCTACTGTGTTTCTTCTGGAGCAGAGCCAGGTCTTGTGGAACATATTTTGACGCAAGCTGCAAATTTTGTGCGGCCTGGTAGCTACGCGACTACTCTTTAAAAAAAGCAGTTCGACATGCGTTTAAGGAAATTCTAAGGAAATTTCAATGTGTCTTTAGAATCCTGCATTGTTTTGCCTTTTTTGTGAGTTTCCCGTAGGATTCCTTTCAGCCAAAGGTGAGCTAAACATCGGAAAAGATTTCGTGAGAAAGATTTTGCTGAGGTTTTCAAGTTATTTTGAGCGCTGCGTGCCATACGACGCATGAGCGCAGGTTTTATGAAGAGTGTGTTTTTGAAGTTCGTATTTTTTTGTAGTTTGGTAATCGTTATCTCACAATGTATTTTTTTAAGCTAAGAAAAGAGGTGCTCCTGGAGCTTGCTAAAGGGCCTGAGATTCTTATTCCAAGAGCTTTAGAAAGCCACGTCTAGTTTCAGAAATAGTAAAAACTACCGATAAAAGTCAAATGCAAGGTCTGCGGAATGATATCGTAGAAAGAAAGATTCACAAAGCCGAGGAGCGGCAAGACGCAAAATTTTTGAGAGGTCTAGGAGCGGAGAGATTGAGAAAGAGGGCGGGAGAGAGTGATTAAACTTACAAGCGGATAGTGAGACAGCAGTACATGAAAGGCAAGCGGACCTCAGACGAGAAGACCTAGCGCTCGGAAGGTTAGAACTTGAGTGCCGAGTTTTGAGCGTTAACACTAATAATTTTGCCAGTGGAAGGGAAAGATCTCAGATGAGGTAGTTAATGCAGCCATTTAAGTTTGGAAACAACATCGCCTTGTTTCTAGTTATTTTGAGCGAGTCTGTCAACATATTTCCTTTAGAAATGACTCACGGTCATTTTTACTTCTGGCGTTGTTGCCTTGCAAAGTTGCAGAAGTTATGGATAGACTCACAAATGAGCAAATTTCTGACTATGTCTGTGTGAAGGCGAACCTGCTCGAAATGTAAAGATTGTCTGAGGAGGCTTCTCCATACAAGTTCAGAAATAGGAAAAAGGAACCAAGCCAGTCCTATGCTGACTTCCCTTACACCTTGCGAGTGAACATGGTGGAATGGCTGAAGCACACCAACGTTTTCGGAGATCACGATAAAGTGATCTAGATGTTTTGCTTAGAGCAGTTTTTCCGGGCTATTCCGTCACTTGTGACGAATTCGGTGAAACACAAATTCGTTACAAGTAAGTTTCCCTCAGAAAAAAACCGTAAACACATGCCCTTCGTCACCCTGACCCTTGGATAATAGATACATCGCGTACTGGTTACGGCCTTCAGATGATTAGAAGAACCCTGCCTACACTGCTCAAAACTTTCTCGCATTCCAATGTTGATATAGTATCTTTAACCCCACGTGAGACTCGTGAATATTTTCTTTGCAATATTGTTGTGTTCACTTTTGGTTTTGTATTTTTCAAGTCCATTTTCTTCGTTGTTGTGTGTGGCTGATATCTAGTTGGCATTTTCGGCCCAGAGTTTGCATTTCTTTCTTTTTTTTAATACTTTTTATTCCTGTTTTGCATTAGTGGAGTTCTTTGCTTTGTATAATCTTTGCTTTGTATAACTTTCGACACCGCTGTGTTCCTGTGAGGGGGCTGGGGACCAGTCAAGCTCCTTGTAATCTTTTTTCCCCAGCTCCCACCATATATACATGTATATGGTAAATAAACTATTATTATAGATGTAACGACTGCTGTGAAAGCCACACAGCTGACCGACGCATGTGAGTTCCGACACCAGATAAGCCACAAAGATAAGCTCCTTGTCATAAAAAAAACCATAAGAGTGAATGTAATAAGTCAGAAACTGCGAAAGGAAAGTAAGCGTAAATTGGCAAAGCTCGAAAGCACGCAAAATGAGGATACAAACATTCAGACGGCTGCTACCAGGGGCTGTGAACCGCGAAAGCGCCTTACATATTAAATCTGCCACAGGCCAGGCCACATTTCATAGATGTACCGTTAAAACAAAAAGAACCATGTCAAACTCAGCTCACTTAGAGCATGATACAAAACCTAAAGCGTACTCGTTTCCGTTTTATAAGTCTGACATCCTCGAGCAAATAAAATACACCTTGATTAAGATAGGCGCAAAGAAGCAGTGCCAGCCTAGATGCATTTCGTTTACGAATTCGGCCAAAGACCTCACAAAAGACGCCTTCGACGTGTCATGTCTCTAAAGTGAAATCCATCTACTTTAAACCAAAGATACCAGATTCCTGCAGGTTGAGTTCGCCAGTAGATAATACTGTTGTATTTGTAAATAAAATTTAGCTCACCATGCCATATAAAGATTAGACGCGTAATTATGTATTTCAAGGTATAACATCAGTGTTAGTGTTTTTTTTTTGTTTTTTTTTAGTGTGAACGTGTTTTGTTTAGAATTTGTTCAGATCCATACATGTTCAGAACGTTCCGATTTGTTTAGAATTTGTTCAGATCCAAGACAGGTGCCACGGTGGAGCACCCGCTCGCGGCACGTGTCTTGCGCGTTTCCAGAACAGTGGTTGGTGGTACTTGCAAAACACGCCTTTATTAAGGAGCTTTACTTAGACATGTAAAGCGACTTTTTTGGCCTAATAGCACAAAGCGGTATTTAAGCTCGAAACTAGGGGTATGCGAATTACGGTTCGAATCAAATACCAATGCGTCATTGCATTTGCAGAAAAAGAAAAAACCAAAAGAACCGATTTTTTTTAACAGTGTGGGGATTACATTGCGCTGCTTGATTGAAACCAGCATTCGCACACCTCTACTCTAAGAATATGTTCATCCTCGTCATTCACCGAAAATCCCTCAATGAATGGCAGCGATTTGCCTATCCAAGTGTTTGCCGTAAAGCAGACGCACCAGGCGTTTTGGAGTGTATGACTTATGATGACTTAAGTCGAGGTATACGCCCAAAAGTCACTTGAACATTCGTGGTTCGCTTGGTGCTTGGTGATCAAGTCAAGAAGTAGGTTGTCATGCAGCAAACTAAGTTCAGAAATGCCAGTCGACCGGGGCTGTATTAGTTGCATCTAGTTTCAAGATTTGCTATATCTCACTTCATAGTTTTGTTCCTAGGCGTTCGAAAACCTAAACGTGTCCCGCGTTGTTCTATTTGTGTTATCACGCATTATGACTCGGATTCACCCAAATAAAATGGGCTGCACTGCCAGCGGAACGTAGCCAAACGCTGCTGTGTGAATGATGCCGAACAAGGCCACGGTTGTAATATTTTTATGCGACCTACTGTAGGACAGAGCGGTGCACATATTGGACACCAGTGTTGCGTCAGCACTTGGCTGGGGTTCAATCAGTGGGGAGATCAGCTGATCGCTAATGCATTACTCACGTGACGTTCTTCCATGAGCGGAGTGCGAAACCGGAAGCTCTAAGGAGCTCGACATATAACAAACACATTTTTCGGGCGATATCTGGTTTTATCAGACAGACAGCCCGTTTGTGTAATATAAAATAGATATTGAGGACATTCCTCCGAATCTAACGTAAAAAAAAACAAGAAATCCCTGAGCCCTATAGTTTTAATGAATAAACCGAAGGTTTTCAAATAACGGATCCGATGTCTCCCAACAAGCACTTTCGCGGATGTCTACAGAAAACAGTAAGACGGCAGGCACTCAGATATTATATGCTCAATGGAGTTATCATGGCAAGAGCGGGCGTTCTGCAGAAATATATTGAAGACCCTGAATCTCCTCGGAAGATGCCGGCTATTTTATCGCGAGTTCATCTTACACTCGTAAGGTCAAGTGGGGCAGACTACTTGTGCCTTCCCTCTTTAATGCATATCGGCGGCTCCTGTAGCACAATTTTGTGCACGACTCTACAGACCACACACTCTAAACATAGAGTATATTCTTACACCCCTTGTCACATATACGACACCCCAAAACTTCAGTTAGATGAACAGCGCATTGACGTTGTACTAACGCTACCAAATTTTACGAGAGAATTGATAGCCGAATTGTACAACTTATCAAAATAGCTAATCTAAGTGTGACTGTTTGCAAAAAAGTTATTGGCGTTTTCTTGGCTCAACTGCAAAACCTCTGTGTTTTTTTGTTTTTTTTTTCTTTTTGTAGACTTTGATACGTACCTTACTTGTTTAATACGTTCCGTCATGAACCCTCTTGCAAAAGTTGGAGCAGTCAGTTTAATGTCAGCGTGCTGTACACCCAAATAAAGTTTTGGGGTTTCGTATATGTGAAAAGAGGTAGACGAAAATACCATTTTTTTAGAGTGCAGGCTACAGACAAGCAACAGAAGACAAGCTGAAGGCAAGCAAAGGGTTACCCGAAACAACCTTGATAGCCACGCTGCAGTCATTCCTTGGAATGCTGGTTTTTTACGATCTATCCATGAAAAACAAAGCAACAGTGACTTGCGATCTACACAGGGTATTGGGGAAGGTGACCTGGAAATGGAAGAAACTGCACGCTGCTGTCTTCAGAACCCTAGAAGAGTTCGTGCTAACCAGAACATCTTTGGCTCACAACGATGAATCAAAACCACTTCGTTTGTCCTGCGTCGCTTCACCGTACGGCGTTGGAGGAGTCCTGTCCCAGGTTGACCAAAAAGGCAGAGAGGTTCCCATCGCGTTTGCGAAGGTTCAACTGAACTACTCGCAGTTGGACTGAGAAGGGTTAGCGGTGGTTTCTGGAGCCATTCATTTCCACCAACACATCGCTACACGCTAGGCGGTCAGGTCACTGGCCATCAACCCTCGCTTGTTATCCTAAGTTCCCAGAAGTCAGTATCCAAGGTCCTCTTTCAAGAATGGGACGCTGATACGTTAAGTCCTCAGCATATGACTACCACCTAGTCTACAGACAAGGAAAGAAACACCTAAACGCGAACGCGTCGAGTCGTCTACCATGTTCTCCTGGAGATATCCTGATGATCGAGGCGACAATGGGTTCACCTCTCACCACCAGTAGGATCGCAGAAATTACAAAAGCGGATCCAGTACTTTCCTGTGTCTACCGAGCGGTGCAGTAATTAACTTTTCAGAAGCTAAAGAAGCGAGATTTATGCATTTTACGAAGTTGGGAACACAGAGAGTATGTCTGATCTGGGGGTCCAGAAATGCAATTACAACGGCTGCGCGTCATGAAGCAAGGAAACTTCTGCACACAAGACACAAGGGAATTGTGTCCATGAATTGTTGACAAACTCTTGCGGTGGTCAGCCATCGACAAATACATTGAGAACACGGTTGGCAACTATTCTGCCTGTCAGGAAGCCAGACCGGTTTCCAACAGGGTTCCTCCAACGCTGAATCATCCATTTCAGCCCTGGGATACAATACATCTGGACTTCGCGGATCCTTTGAGAGGGGAGCGGGGTTATATTTCTCGTCGCCGTAAACATATCCACGAAGTGGCTAGAAGTGCGCTACATGACTTCAGCCATCTCCGCAGGAGTCATTCAAGAGCTCCGAGCTTTCTTTGCCCCGTTCGGACTGCCACGGAAGGTTGTGTCCGAGTCCGACAACGGCACAGTGGCGTGTCAAGCGAAATTATAGACTTCAATGGAAAAAAATATACAATTCGTTCATCAACTAGCGCTTCGTACCACACCGCTACAAATGGCTAAGTCAAGTGCATGGTGTAGGAATTAAAACAAGTGTTGGTGAAGGACAATGAAGGTCTCCTATCCTTGATCGTTGCAATATTTATCTATGAGCCACATAGAGCGGTATCTAGGTCGACCGGAAGGACGCGTGCTTGTAAGATGTTCCGCCGTGCTACAAACATAAGCAGGCGGATTCCTCCAGCAGAGACGGAAGATGAACAACCACAAGAAACGATACCTGCATCCAGAAGCTTCACGGAAGAACAGCCGGTGGCTGTTGGCATTCTCAGGGGGATCCCAAGGTGGATCAACGGCACACTCGTGAAAAGAAATGGTCATTCCTTTTGACTAATATAAATAGCTTGGCGGAGAATTGGGCGGCATCTAAAACTATACCTGAAGACGTTCTTCTTCATCGACTTCGCCTGCAGCGTGGTAAATCAACGTTTCCGATGGCACTCATGTCTCTATTCTCCAACAAGATATTGTCACGAATGAAGGCGACGAGAAGGCGAACAGTGAACTGAAAATAAAGGTTTAATGGGCGAACTTGTGCCAATCAAAAATAAGTAACGAAAGAGCGTCGAGGCAGCAGAAAAGCAGGCGGCGATTCGGCGGCAAAACAGAGAGCGCGAGCGAGACTGAGACTGACTCGACAAGGGTGGTGGTGGTGGTGGTGGTGGTTTGTTGGGTTCAACGTCTCCTAGGTTAGCCTAGCTCTGATGTGCTGGCCTGGGCAGGTGACGAGCTCCAATAAAGCTAAAAAAAAAAAAAACGGGGGTAATGCACTAAGAGAAACCACGAGCCTGGGCCTACTTTGGCTACAGGCGCTCAGTCAGTTCTGTGTGTCGTAGGAAAGCCAACAATGCCTTGAAAATCTTCCGGCACTTTCGTCTGGGCCCGTTGGGAAAGAGCAAGCTGTCTGTTGTCATCTGGGTGCCCTCCTTAACCCCTTTGACGCAGCGCTTCCCGTTGTGTCTCGTATGTCGGGCAGACGCAGATGATGTGGTGGATCGTCTCTTCTGCCCTGCATTGAAGACAGCTTGAGCTCTGCCGTTTTCCCATTTTAGCAAGGAATTCGTTTGTGTATGCCGTATTTGTCCGTAGTCGTCACACCAGTGTCTCCGCTGCCCGGGAGAGACCGGTCAAGGTGCCTTTGGGTAAAAATTTCTCCGGCTTCTCCCACAGGAGATGCCAGCGGACATCGAGAGCTGCCTGTTGCGGGTGTGCAGGTGTGGGGACCTGGGGGGGGGGGGGGGGGGGGGGGGGAACTGATGCGCTTCCGCGGTGAGGTCATCCGCGCGTTCATTTCCCTGGATGCCGACGTGCCCTGGGATTCATTGGAAACAGACTGAAGAGCCATGCGCTTCCAAGATAGCCAGGCCCTCCCTTGCAGCGGCCGTTGCAGGGTCTCCGGTCTCGGCATTGGCTATCTTTCGGATGGCGCACCGGGAGTCCGTGAGAAGGACCATCGGTTGGGGCGGCAACTTGGCGGCCTCCAGGAGAGCTTTTTCCATGGCCACCAGCTAGGCCGTTGTTGACGACGTGGGTTTGTGGAGTCTGCCATTCCACTCCAGACTTAGTTTCGGTATGTGATAAGTCGCCGTGCTGGAGGTTCGTGAGTGGTTTACCGACCCGTCAGTGTATATCTGCAGCTTTCCGCTGTGACGTTCTTCGAGGTGGGCCTCCACTAATTCCTTGATGACAAGGGGTGGCTTGTCTTGTTTGGAGCGCAGGTACTTAATCCGCACCTCACTAGTTATCTTCGGCACTTCCCATGGTGGTGCCCTTGACTCGCTCTGTGGCATCGTTAGGGGGTCCGCGACTCGAATTCTACGCAGGAACCATCTACCTGGGTGGGTTGTCGACAGTCGTGCCAGTTGGAAGAGGCTTCGTTCCCAAGACTACCTCTCGAGCGACTCTAACCCCGCTTCTTGGAGGACCAGGATGTTCTTGGCAGCCTTCGGGATCCCCAACGCCGTGCGAAGTCCCTGGCGGTGCAGTTGTTCCAATCTCTCCAGGTCCGTCGGGGATGGGGACATGTAGGGCAGCCTGTACAGTATCCTTGACGTGACGAGCGCTGTCTGGGCGGCCAGTATGGTTCGTTTTGTACAGCCCCATGTGACCCCAGTCATGCGGCGGACAGCATTCGTGGCCGGCCTGCAGGTTGTGATGGTCGCCTCCGCGGCTTGTGCCCATCGCACTCTGTCTGTGAGGATGATTCCTAAGAACCGCTGCATTGTTACGCGTGTGATTCTTTCTCCTGCCAACTTGATGTCTGGTGGGCGAAAGTGGAGTCCGTTCCCCCGTATGGACATCCAGGCTGTCTTATCTCTGGAGAGGTTCAGCCCCGAATTGGTCAGAAATTTGTGCACAGCGTGGATGGCGTCCTGTATACTCGACAAGGTCGCGGGCAGCTGCTTATCTACCGTGCGTCACTATCTCGAAAGTTCGGCAAAGAAGGTTCGAGCGTCGCGCTCTCGGGTCGAGAATGAACTGGCACTTTCGAGAATAACAAAGCAGAGGGAAAGTTACGTCTGCTGCGAGAATAACCGGGAATCTTCTAGAAGACCGTGACCAAGCGTTGCCTTCTCGGCCCTGTGGGCGGCAATATTCCTACGCAAGGCGACACAGCAGGTGGAGATCCCGGAAATGTAGCAGTTGGCCCACATAGGATCCATCCACCAAAAACTAGACGCCCGCCAGACCGCTATGGGGACCATACGTCTGTGCTTGGAGGGATGTTGTGTATGACGCAACGGGCACTGTGACTGGGCGCACACGGGCACGAGCAGCTGCGCTCGGGCGCTGATTCCTGACTTCCATTGAACGAGCATCCAGCCACAACGGCTCTGTTCCGATCTATTAAATTAAGTATTTAATACAAATCATCGATACATTTTCTACATTGTCAGTCACATGATCACAGCCGACTCGTTACGATGATAACAATGCGCCTTAGATTCTCGGTTATTCAAAAATGTCACGCACCTGTGATAACGCCCAGACCAATTATCATCGCCGTTACGTTGTAAAACAAAACGCAGAAGAAAATTCCCGAAGCCGCCAGCACACTTCCGGCGATAGCGACGGTCCGCAGAGGGAAGAGCTTCACAAGAGCGCCCCAGACAGGCCCTGCAGAGGAAGACAACTTTTTACTGCGATTTCACTCTCCACGCTATTGTAACTGACAACTGAAGAAACTCCGGGCGTAGCGAGTCTTGGGCAACCTATTAACACTTCGCAGACAATTAGGTTGCGGCATCAGCAGAAAACAACGTCGAAAGACGAATCACCAACAAGCATGATCATTATAGGCCATGCCCTGCATTTCTCAATCAGTCAGTAGTCACCAAATCCAGCATCCTACGCACTTTAAAATGCGGGTGATATTACTCTCACGCGAATCACTCACAGAGCCAATAGCTGTGGTTTATGAATGCAGCTCGGCGAACGTCAAAGCAGAAATTATGTAGTTCAATTATTAACGCTCTCGCCCGACGCATCAATTGTTCATACTCTTCGTGCACGAGGTACTGATGTATTTCAGGCGCAACTTTCAATGAGTGTGCAAAGGTTGCTACAAAAGTTGTTATAGTAAAAGGAACGTAACGTTGATGGGAATATTACGTCATGAAAATGACGTATGCACTTGATGAGCAGACTAGAAAAAGGGGGGGGGGGGGGGCGTTTCGCTTGGAAAGCAGCAAGAACTTTCTTTAAACCCGCTCGTGTGGCTGCCGTATTTACGTTAGTAGGCAGTACCTTATTTCTAGCCAAAATGTGAAGTATGGCTAGAAAAATGGGAAAGTACTCTTTACCTACGAGGTGTGACACAGTTCCCAGAAGACTGAAGGGCCACGACGCCAGCTCCCGCGAGGCACCCATCTCAGAGATCATGGTGACGAAGACGATTGCTCCACACCGATTGATGATGAGCGTCCAAAAGAAGCACCAAGAGCAGACTAGGGCCATAACCCAGCTCCATCGTGAGTCCTGGTACGGGAGCCTCGGCTCTTCCCGTTTTGCGGTGGTCATCATACCTCAGGCGTCAGCGTCGTATGTGTGCTCTTGGATACGGTAGCCTGGTGAAAACATGTTGACGATTTATGTTAGTTTCTTAGAGTTCTCACTCGGACTACTTTAGAATAATTTCTGGAAAAACTTAGCGGGATCATAGCGTGATGATCGCTGAGAATCCAAATGTCTTTCAATTTAGCTTTCACACACAAAAGACTGCACTCTCGGAAATGTCAATGTAGATTGTCTGATAAAAACAGAAAGAATAAACATAGGGACGGACAGAACAACACCTCTTTCGGGTGTTGTTCTGTCCGTCCTATGTTTATTCCTTCTGTTTCTATTTAACTTCACCAACGCGCTCACGTCGAACTAAGTTTTAAATTGTCTGATGCCTCGCACTGTTGCTTATGTCTATGCTAAGGCTAAAACTCTTCAAACCTGTTTTTTTTTTTGTGAATGTATTTTTTACGAAACTTCTTGCATGGCGTCTTTTACGGTTCGTGGTATCTTCTCTGCGATAACGCTCCTTCACGTTCGGGGTCGCATGTGAAGTCATGTTTGCCGAAAAGGAAGATATTTAAGCTTGACCACCCCCCTCACCCCCCATATCGGACATCTGCTGATTTCTGGCCTTTCCCTGAGCTAAGAATTTATCTAAATGAAAGTCGCTTCCGGAGGACGTCTAAAGTGCTGTGATAGCGAATCTTCTAGGACTTTCATCCGACGTGTTCAAACACGCCTTCGGCTTTCTGTGTCAACAGTGTATAGAATGCATAGAACTCAGGGGGAATTATCGAGAAGAAAGCTAAGTTTTAAGTCTTCGGCTGCTATATGTTTTGATTTCTATTGACTGTTTGCAGAAATACCGGAAATCGATAGACCCTTCAAAACGGAAAACACAGCACCTAGATGCTAAATTGTTATATCATACTCCTTGTGTACCTCACTGAATAATTGTGACAAGAAAATAAAATGGGCAGGAACAAGCTTGATGAAAAGTCAGATTTATAATTCATACTTGCTACTTAGCATCAAATATGCGTTCTCTCTAATTTTTTTAAGCGTGAGTGTTGAGCGGCCGTAAAATAGCTCCTTATTGTGTTTTCAATTATTAAAGGCCCGACATCAGTGTTCTACAGTGATATTTCGCATAAATAAAGACCATGTTCTGCGTGTATATTGCTAAAAAATAAACACCAGCCCGGAATTGTTACAATAGAGTCCCTTGATGATTTTTTTTATTATTTTAAATTAAAATATACCTCCGAGAGATTGTTTTTGAATAATATATGTAAACGTACGGACATGGCGCTGGTAGCTTATGGCGTCTAATTATAGTTTGCAAACCCTCGAATAGCTCATGCAAATGTCAAGAAACTATACAAACCAAGTAATTACACCTTATTATTGCCTCAAGATATCCCCCAGTAAAAATTAAAATAAAAGATATGCACTGTATGCACCATATCCTTCCTCAACAACACCGTAGTCATCAGAGGTACCAAACTCATGAGCATTAATTTTAAAAAGGGGTGCAATTCGTCTAGAAAATACTGAACGATGTCTAAGTATCTTATTCTATTGAGGCATTCATTTCGTCACACTAATCACCCTTGTTAATGAAAAGCACATAATCCACAGCATTAGAAAGTGAGTCCATAAAAACAAATCCCTTTAATAAATAGTCCATACCATGCAGTCAATTCAGTCTATCACAGTTCATTCATTTTGTTTTGCCTTTACACCTATTCCCACTAACAAATTTAAAATAGCCAGTATCCCAGAGCAGAATGTTTCACAGGCATCATTAATTACTGGCATTGCGAAATTAAGGAGGTCGGTGTATATGAAAACACACGTGTTTCTTTTGAAATATTGCCCCTTGCGAAACGTTTCTCAATCAGTAATAGTGGTAAGGAGCTAGCATTTCATCAACCTTTTTAAAAAAACTGGGCTATGCGCATTTCTTAAGTTTACGTGCTGCCTGAGCAACGAAGCACAATGCGGCCGAATTTAAGGCAACCTAATTCAAGCGTGGAACAGGCTTCATTTGGCAGGTAAAGAAACGCTTACTTGATTGGGCAGGTCAAACCGCTACTTCCTCCAGGATCTTGGTTTTTTTATGTTGAATTTGTTTGCTTCGGTCATGTACCCCAAATAATTTCACTGGTTCCAAATTCCAAGAGTAGTTTGTAATTAGGTGAGGTGATGAAGGTTGTTTTTTCTGGATATCCACCGTCAGAGGTATCGCACGTGTTGTTCCTGTAAGCACAGAGAAATGACTACGTGGAAAGCGCAGCGGCTTTCTGGAAATCCGTTTTCTACCAGTTCCCCCTCCGTGCAACACATGCTGGACCCTATAAGCCGACAATTTGCGTAAAGATACGCCAGGCTCGTCCGTGGCCTACCTTTCTTGGAAGATGGAGGACTTTATCAGAGCCTGTCTACCCCTCGCATGTTCCCTCTAATCTTGAGCATGTAAACTCCTAAGATAAGGCGCCTTATGCTGTGCAGAATAGCAATCTGCTGAGCCGAAGAAGATAAAAGCCTGCAAATGCAAGCGGAAGAACTGAATAAATAAGGAATACCAGCTTCGCGAAAGCTGATATTCCCGGAGGTTAAGGTCCAGAGAAGCTATATTTGCGGAGACTGGGATTGTGAAGCTGACAAAAATTAATAGAATTCAAAGACTTTGTGGGGCCTCAAGGCGATAAACCGGACATGTACATTTTCTACTACACATCAAGTTACTGCAAAAAATAAGTACCATTTACAAAAAAATGGCAGCGCCAAGATCTTGTACGAGGCGTTGTCGTTAGTCCGAGTGAGACGATTTGAAAGGCGGGAATTGTGACCAAGAGCCGGTCGAGACCGATTTTATTTTTTTACGCGTTCTCAAGTACAACGTGCAAACACAAAAGTTCGAAACTTTCCGTACGGATTTCATGTACGATCTACCTGGACTTTGCCGAAATGAAATAAAATATGCCCCGTGTTGCTTGGACCAGGATCGGTTCAGATATCACTGGGATAAAGTTTGAGGTGAAGTTTCTGTTCTTGCGAGATATGTAGTGAAATGCGTGTGATGCATCTGAATGCATAATATCCACATGGCAATTGCGTAAGTTTGAGAGTGTGCAGCTTTGGTGCCACTTCGTTCATGTGACTACACTCGGGGACAACTTTCTCTGACAATGAAGAGAAAGCTACGGGGGAGAAAGGGGGAGGCTAACGGCTTTGTATTATTGTGTTGCTTTAAGTAGTTCTAGACCTTTTTGGTTTCGGTTTCAGTTTGGGTTTTGACGCAACACGCAAGCATTTCCTACGGATCTCTTCGCGTGAAAATCGCGGTTGGGAGTACTGAACCGTGATTGCCCAGCACGCGAGCATGCCCATGTCTTTCTTTACGATTCACCTGTCTTTACACAGATGCCAACGAGTTTACTGAAGCACTAGGATTGACTTACACGGTAAATTACTCTGTAATCGATATCGTCGAATCTTGCAACCGACAAAAATATGCTACGTCGATTTATGAAATGGCGTAAATTTCATCAGTGCCGAAGTTTTGAGTTCATTGATACGCAAACCCTACTGTCTACTGATGTTGAAAAATCATAGCGCAGGCGCGATACGCCGAAATGCCAGCATGCACTCGTTTAGTCACGAAGTCAGATCTCATATGTATCACGTTCGGTTGCCGCTGGCCCTAAAGGAGGGCCGGTGGGGAGGGGGGAGGGGGGGGGGGGGGGGCTGGTGATTGGTGGCTCCACGTATAGGGAACACTCGCGCAAAAAACCTATGGATCTTTGGCTCAATTCCCATACCTGCTCGCTAAGCGACCTGCATCTTGAAACAATAAAGATTCCAGGTTCCCTCTGTGTCATTTGTGCGTATATTTTGTACATGTTTTGCTTGGTTTGTTCGAGAAGTTTTGGCTACCAAAGTTTCCGTAACTTATGCGAGGTGAAAAAAGGGGGTGAGACTACGGAAGCCACCGACGATACATGTAACACCACGAACACCACACCAGAAAGACGCGATGTTTGTTTTGTCGGAAACTAGAAATTCTGCGGCGAACTTAAACGAAAAACACCCGAAGGAGCCAAAAAAAGAAACGTTATATATTTGGCATATTTCAAACAATATTACTGCACCATTTGTGAAATCAAAGCTAAAAATAACAATTTTATATTTTTAATTGTTATTTTGTTTGAACTATATTCAGAAGCTTAGTGAAATTGCGTGCTTGGGCTCTCTACATTTGGCTGCATTGCCACAGAAAAGTAACCCACAGTTTAGAGTTTTGTGTTTTCTGTGTGGCTTACTAGACTTCTTTCGAAGTCGTAGTTCCCGCTCAGGACGAGATCATGCTGCGCTGATTTTTAAGTTGTCCTGGTGCAGACATCTACTTTCACGAAGCAGAGAGGTTGTCGTTCAACGTAGAAGAATGCGACCCACTCCAGTTATCCTTCTGTTTATCCACGGCAGTTGTCGAAACATTGGAGAAGGGGACTTCTTCGTGCAGCTTGAAGCTAAAACACTGCATCTTCTTTAATAAGCAGGGCGCATGCTCCACGTTAAGCTTTGTTAGATCATTTTATTTGGCACAACATTCGGGGCATATTTGAACTATCAGTGCATACTGTCTGCTCCGCACCCTAGCCTAATTGCCTTATACCAATCCTTTGCAGCACCTCGAACAGATCACAAGAGCCTGCTGCTAGACGGTGTATTAAAACTACATTTTTCCTGAAAGCTGTGGGGCCAATCGTTGGCTTGTCATGTTCCAGTTCTCACAAATGTTATCGGCGCGCTACAACATGTCTGGGTTTGTGTAAGTTGCAGTACGCCCCGACCGCGTCCGATCATGAAGCTATGTTTCCCACCCTTTCGAGACTCAATTCTTTTAACCCTGCGTCTAATTGTAGTTTCATAAATTTCACAACTTCCTCTTACAGCATACGAAAGGCTGCGAATTGTGTAGTTTCTTTCTGCGCCACTAGGAACCCTATTACAGGGTAAAGCTCAATGTATGTGGCACTTGTCATCATTCACCACCATCATTTATTAAACCTTGAAGTTTCCTACGGGGATTCAACAAGATAGGGTACAAGCTGGAGTACATTGGTATATAAAGCAAGGAGATAAAAACAAATAAACACGCAAACTCTTTTAGATTTTAAACAACTAATTAAACATTAAAAATGCACAAATAAAACATTTCTACAAACACGAATCGAATTTGTTATTTGAGCCGCTGCAAATGGGCGGTTAGTTGTAATATGGATATGTTATGATCTGTCTGGGTCACGATACTGTTAGTCATGTTATTTCAGTGGAGTTAAGAAACGAGACCGACGAAGCGAAAATTGGACGGACCTTACAGACGCTATCAATGCAAGGAAAGATCCGAATGGGTGGGTATAACAGCGAAGTTGTGATGTCATTGTTTTTGGGAGGCTGCTTATTTCCCGGCATTACAGGACTGTCTCGGAAAATGTAACTCAAACTGATCATAGCTCGAAAACATAGTGTGTATTATCAAAACGCTCGTGGTCTTAGAACCAAATCAGATGAATTTATGTCGAATCTGCTGAGTTATGATTAGAACATCGTTACCTTATCAGAAACCTAGCTACATGATGGCATCGCCAGTGGCGATTATTTTCCAGCGTGTTTTTCTGTGTTTCGCAGGGACCGTGACTATGCGTCAGGAATAAAATACGGCGGTGGCGTACTGATAGCCTGCAATCAATCTTTGAACGCCCATAGACGTAACGATCTGGAAACTTATCGGGAATCGGTGTGGGTTGATATTCCTTCTGCTGACGGATTCAACCTTCTGATTGGAACATATTATTTTCCTCCCGCTTCATATGCTGCGCTTTTCATAGACCGCTGCGATTTCCTTGGAAACAGCATAGATACGACTAAATATCGCGTAAACATTTACGGAGATTTTAATCTTCCAAAGGTTGATTGGCTTTCTGGCATTATTTACAGTGAAAGCTCATGTACGCGTCTAAAAGCAACTTGTTTTATTCAGCTATTTAAATTTTAATGATTTTACGCAAGAGAACATGTTTGTAAATTGCTCCGAAACATTTTTGATTTAGTTCTATCTAACTTTTGTGTTTCGAATGTGACTTGTGTAAATGATCCCCTGGTAACTACTGCTGATGCTTACCACCCTCCGATCGAGGTCTTGTTTTCAATGTTTTTGAAGGTCATATCACCTTGCTGCGTCCTGAGATATGCATATAGTCTCGGTGAATATTTTGGTCTATTTAAAAATTTTACGAAATACGACTGGAATAGCATGTTACAAGGCTCAGATTTTGGTTCTATAGTGGACGGTCTCACATTGGTAGTTAGTGATGCAATGGATATGTTCATTCCTAAGTACCTTCAACGTCCCGAGAAGAGTCCCAAATGGTTCTCTAAAGGCCCGACCACACTAGCGTGAACGGCGCCGCCGGGCGGCGCCGCCGGGCGGTACCGCCGTTTGGCGTCCCAACGCGAGGAGTCCACACTGGCCTCCGTTTTGCAGGCGTCACGTGACAGCGCTGGTTCCCGCGATCGCGCCTCCCGTCGGATTTCCCGCTCTTTCGTCGTCTGCTCTTCGTTAGATTCTTCCGTTCCACAATCGCTGTCTAGACGGTAAGAGTTCATAATGACCTGGTGATCAGGGTGAATGTGATTATCCTAACCTGCTCGTTGATCTTGCGACGTCGCCGCGCTCTGAAGGGAAGGAGGCGCAGGTTTTGGGTCCGGCCGGGTTGGTTCTACCAAAACACCGAAGGACAGGAGAGGTCTGGCGCGCCGCCGGGGCTTTGCTGCCCCGGCGGCGCGCCACAGACGAAGGCTACTTTCGAAAGTGTCACCAAATCAACACGACACCAGTCACAACAGAGATGACATGCAACAAGTGCCACGGACCGCTCCGTTGGGGAAGGCATCGGGGGGAAATAGGGGGAGCAGACGACACGAAACACGTCCTTCTCTTCGAGAGGCGCCGAGGACCGGCTTGAGCGTTGCCATGGCATCGCGACGTCACTATCTACGCCATCTCCCATTGGCTCCTCTCTTCTGCGGCGTGCGGCGCTGAGCTATGAACCGCGCAAGGAGCGGTTGGGTGTGCGGCGCCGCACGTCGTGACGTTGAAGCCGAAAACTGGTTTCCGCCGGCAACCGACAGCGACGACCGTCGCGCCGCAGGCCTCCGAAACGCCAATGTGGTCGCGCCTTAAGGATTTACGACATTACTTGAAGTTAAAATTACATTATCATAGATTGTATAAAAAGACAAAACTAAACGTGTGGTATGAAAATTACAGCATATGTCGTAAACTAACAAAGCAACTCCTCGCTAAAGACCAGTATCTGGACCGTAAGCAGGTGGATCTTAGCTTAAACAAGCGACCCGAAGAATTCTGGCACTTTGTGACGAAGCATACCAGG